CAGCCAGTGCTGAGAGCCTTTGTTTAGCAGTCTCTAGGGCTTCAGATGAAGTCAGGCCCTTGTATTTTTTCAGTAGCCAAGTCTGATCTTTAATTTTCACACCCTTCTGTACTTCCACCAGGTAACTTCTGAGTTGCCTTGATCTTAGCCTCCAACCTCATTTTCCAAGGGGGTATTTACTGCTGTCCTTCTTCTATATCAGTTCACTAGTTCACTGTTAGGAACATCTATGATAATGTGCAGAACCTTCAACTTCCAGGCCTCTGGTAGAGGACCCGAGATTGAAGAAGACACATACCACCCATAGGGTGGGAGGGGATATTTATTTATACACGCATATACCCAAAAGGCAATAATTTTAAAAGAGAATTATTCCATAAACCAATGAATCCATTGAATCTCTAGTTTAGGAAGTCTCTTTCTCTGAAGAGAGGATCTAATTAAAAAATAAAAGTAAAATTGAAAGCTCAAGCAATGTGTTTGAACTACATCTACTAAAGTAAAAATACAAGATAGTCATTTAAGATTATATTTAAATGGTTTTATTTTTGTTTCACACACACAAAAAAAGCAATTGTGTTTGCAATATATATGCCATTCAGCCAGTGCTGAGTATACACAGACCATTTTATTCAAAATATAAGAAAATAGGCTTTCATTTGTCCTTTACAAATTAAGAAAACCCACAGATTTGCATATAATGTGTACATCTACGTATAGACACAAACACATATCTCATTTTCTAAAATATTCCTCTTCAAAACAAATATTCTACAACTTGGAGTTACTCTTTTGATAAGAATGTACGCTATGCTTTCTATAGAGATATCAACAGAGAAGTGTAATCCCTTTCAATGTCCAGTAATACTTGATATTCCAGAACTATTTTCATGTTACCATTATTTAAGCCAGCTTGTTATCAACAGAACTACAATCTCTCCACAGATCTGGTGCAAATTTACTCTTAAATTCACCCTTTTTAAGACTCTGTAAATTTAAGTGTCTTCAGTGGCTTTCAATAATTCATTCCAACTTCATCATACTGTTGCACATTTTATAAAGGTAACTCTTAGATTTAGACAGTAATTTGCTACATGTGCCATGACTAACCTAAAAAAGATGCCCAACCGTTGCTTTGATCTAAGCAGCGGTGTCATGGGTAAAGATCTGCATTTCTGCTGCAAATTGCAGGTTTTAGTAACATTCTAGGAGGCTTAAGTTCTTAAATATCAAGACCTGAGAGTATGGCAAAGCAATATTTTTAATTGGCTAAAACTTTAAATATCTTATTAGTGGGATAAAACAAACATGTGATGGACAAATCATCAACCACCATTTGAAGTGGAAATTAAGAAACATATATCTAAACATTTTTAAGATTTTTTTTTAATCCCACCTTTATTATTTTATAAATAACTCAAGGCAGTGAACACACCTAATACTCCTTCCTCCTCCTATTTTCCCCAGAACCACCACCCTGTGAGGTGAGTTGGGCTGAGGGAGAGTGACTGGCCCAAAGTCACCCAGCCTGCTTTCATGCCTAAGGTGGGACTAGAACTCGCAATTTCCTGCTTTGTAGCCTGGTGCCTTAACCACTAGACTAACCTGGCTCTCTGGCATAGGGGCATCCATTTGTGAAATATGTACAAAAATGTATCCTTAAATGAGGCAATATTTAAAAGTTCAGAGTGCAGTGAAAGATAACATCTTCCAGAAGGATTTTAAAAAGCCAATCTATCATCAGAGGGAGAAATGTTCTAACACAGAACAGGTGGAAGATAGACAGTCATATAAATATAAGGGTCAGTGTCCTGTAGTATGATGCTATTAAAGAAAAAATAAGGCCACATTCTTTCAAGTATAAGCCTCACAGTGCATGTCCAATTTCACCTGTAATGGAGCAGGCAGTTTTTAAAAGCAGCAAGATCCATTACATGAATTCTATCTCCCACAGCTGTATAAAATTACTAACATTACAGTTAAAATGTAGTCGCTTTGAGAGCATTTAAAAATAAACAGTTTCATTATTTGAAGTAAAAGAATAATTACTCTGGAGATGGGCAATTTTAAATGGCTCGATTGCTTTGTGTGTTTGTGCATTTTGACAGAATTACAGCCCCAGTATGGCTATACATATACAAAATTATAGCTGAAACCTGCACTTTTAAGGCCCTTTCACACACCCCTATATAACCACCATAATGTAATATCTTTTCATCAAACATCATTTGGAATACTCTCACCCATTCCAAAACCAGAAGTTAAACGCTAAATTACTGTGCATAGCATTTTTTTCAAAATTCCATGGAGATCACAAATAGGTGGCAGAGAGAGAAATCTGGCTTTGTTACAATGCTTTGCCAGAAGAAAACAAATTGTAATGCTCCAACTTTATAACTTTGCAGGCTGAATAGAAATATTATATCTAGCAACGGTTTCAAAGAGAACAAAAACTGACTCTAAATATTGGGGTAGGTTTATATTGAACTCCATGCATTCAGCCAATACGTAGAGAGAAGAGCAAACATGTGCCGGTCCTACTCTTCCCGATGTCCAGTGCAACATTTGAGAAAGAGGTCCACACATGTGGAAAGCTGTAGATCTGGGGTATTTTTTGGATCAAGAGTTATATTTGACCTTTCAATAGCATGCCTGAGGCCACACCAAAATCTAATGGGTGGAGGCAGAACAAAAACTACGTATATTTTCCTTTACATTTAAAAATTAAATATAACTACTATGGTCACTCTCCAGTCATATATCTAGTAATTTTCTCCTCAAATATACTGGAAATAATTGGTCTTTGGGAACCACAGCTAAAACTTCTGGGCTGATCATGATAGTACACTAGACAGACAAGCATATTTCCATGTTAAATAAAATAGGCAGAAAAGTTATCTGTGATACACACAGTGGCACATACCGGTATGCATGGATATACAAACATATGTAAGATGCAAATAGTTGAGTATTTCTCCAAAGTTTGTAGACTTAACAGTTGTGTTTCAAATGTGTAGAACTATAAGTTTTATCCACAAAGCCAGACTACTGGGACTAAGGCTTGTTTAATTATCTCATTAATAAAAGGCTTTAATGCAAACATATAGAGAAACACACTTTTAAATGTTACAGAATGCTCCATGTACATATTAAGTATACACACTTCTTAACACTAAAGAGAACAAACTAGCCATTGCATATACAATGCTCTTGGCTATTTAGAGCTCTGTGGAACTCTGCATCATGGCTACAGAGGCCAAAATCAGTTTTTGGTTTTAAGACGTTCAAATTGACATGTTTATAATTTGAACAAAAAAGATTTTCCTTCACTAAGTAAGCATAACATTCTATCTCTCAATAATCTTTGAAGATATGGAGATTCATAACTATGAAGGGCTTTTAACAAAAATAGACTTCCATTATATATATATTATAATACTTATAATATACTTTAAGGCACATGAACTATTATTTCAAACAGATTGAAAACACAACCAAGTTTGATCTCATTTTTTTCCCTCTTCCAATCCCATCTGTTACAGAAAGCTTTGAAACCTAATTGCTAGGAGGGGGTACATAGTTTGTACCACTCTACATTGTATTTCTACAGTAAAGTGACTGATTTTAGGGGGGGAAAAACTTCATAACAAAAATGCTACCACTTTCAACAGGATACATGTATAAGATATTGCAAAGTTAGGATTCCAAAGCAGCACAAAAGCTTTGATCAAGATTTGAGAATCAAGCATTTCTAAGCTAAGAAACCATAAAGAAAATTGAGGACATTCAAATTACTTTAATTAGTCCTCGATGTAATAAAAAATTATCTACTCCATTAAAGTCACCCCTGATTATTGAACTGGATAAAAGCATTTCGTATTATTACAGCAAATTCTTCTTCTGAATGGACTCAAGACAATTACATTTAAGGTATACCTATGGCCTATCATTTATGGTTTCAGCATACATACAAATGCACATGCATAGAAAGTCCAACTTTTCCAGATTACAGATTGTTGGAAATCAAACTTTGTTGGAAGCAAAAAGTGTACTGACTGCTTTGGATCCCAGATCCATACATGATTGATTCATTTTAAATATGTTTCTCTATTTAAGCATAATTTATAAAATGTAAATCAAAATCAAACCACAATCATTTTTAAAAAGATAAATATTTGAAAGTATTCTCAAAGCATCAGTGCCTTCATTTAAAACAAATATTCTAATTCTAGAACATAGGTGCACTACAATTTCAAGTCCAGTTCACATTTCCAGTAGCAAGCACAACTCTACATAGGATTCTAAGTGTCAGATGATCCAACAAAGAAAGCAGCAACAATTCTACAGAATGCTAGGATGGATGGATGGATGGATGGATGGATGGATGGATGGATGGATGGGAGGGAGGGAGGGAGGGCAATGCACAGAAATATAAGAGTGGGGAACAAAACAGATATATGAGAGAAACATAGCAAGCCTCACATTCTCTACCAACCATGAAAGATGCTCTTCACTTTGTAAAGTGAGCCATTTTGGGGGATGGGGGAGGGCTAATATCAAGGTGAGTTATTTTCAACCAATTTAGAAGCTGAGCTAGTTAATAGCAATAACTTTGTTTTCAGTGTATTAAAGAGTCAGAAGTACTAAAACTAGGTTGCTTGGTATATTTTTCTCCTTTCCCTGTTTTCGATATAATTGAAATATAATTGAAAACAACTTATCTAGTTTATGTTTTTATGATGTTAAATTCATAATTAAGCAAAATTGGTTTTGAATGCTTCTCTTGATCTAGGAAACTGCCTCTTTCATATTGACCCAAAATTGCTTCAAACATTGAATTTGTATATTCTTCAGCAGTGTCCTCCACTTTGAATTATTTGTACCACAAAGGATGCATCAGCTTTATCCCACGGTTACATTCCAATTTCTGGAGTACATATGAAGAAACAAAACAAACTATCTAATATTGGTTTATGTAGCACTGAACTCTGTGGCACAGAAATAATAAGATTTAAAAGCTTCCAGAGTATGTAATCCTCCATGAGAAATAAATGAAGTAAAATCAGTAGTAAAATATTGAACCAAACAATCATCTTCTGTTCCTATTGTAGAATCTATACTAGATACAACATTTCAATAAAAAGTGGGATTTTTCACAAATATGAAGAAAGGCATGTCTCAAAAGCTGATGTCAAATTGGATCCATACCTTTCCAAGTTGATGTTTGCTTGAAGAAAGAGCTTATTAAACTATCCTCTTTGATAGGAACAAACTCAGAAATTAAGAGTACTTTCAAATGATTGAAAGCATTACCCATCTGGTGCCCTTTCAGATGTGTTGGAAATATAAATCCCAGAACTGTAAGTCTCAACAGTGGCTAAGAATTGTGGAATTTGTAGTTCTAAAACATCTTAAAAATATCAAGTTGGGGAAGCTGGCCTAAATCAACACATTTAACTTTTTCATCCATTTTTATTCTTCTCAATTCTTCCATAATACAATATTGTATCGGGGAGTTTTAGAACTGTACTGAATAACACATAAAACTGTTGACAATAATACCTCAAATGCCAGTTATTTACTTTACTATAAAAAATTAGCATAGAATAGAAGAGTTTGACAAGTGTGGGATAGTTTGTTGTAATATTCAATCTGGCATGCTTTATTTTTGGTGAAAGGTTTTAGAACAAGGATGGGTGACACAAATAGCACGTCTTGTGATTTGACAAATATTGACTTTGGTCAAAGCATAGGCATGGTCTATTTTTAGAAATATCTATATACAGAACAATGTGAAACATCAGGGCAGTACTGAAAAGAAACTGAAACCAGGAAATTCCCAAGCTGATAATTCTGAAATTGTTGAAACAGTGTACTACATACTTTTAGGCAGCTACATCAAAGTGAGAAACAAAACTGGAATCTGAAAACTATATAAAGCATTTTCCAAGCTATAATTTAGAACCTGTTTGAAAACCTCTATGGGTTGGTTCAGCATAGCTCTCTTGATATTTTACTTTGTGTTTACAAAAGGTAATTCGACTTATTCAGTACATAGTACTAGTAACTTCTAGCCATGTTGTAGGCAAATTAAAAACAAAAATTCTGATATTTGCATAATTCCTAGAAAATATTTATAAATCAACACCCAGAACTCCCCAAAACCTTATTTTTGACTTCACCTGTTCACCTTCATTAATTGTGTTTTAGCCACTGCTTATAATGATAATGAAAAAAAATGCTTTACAGCAGGGACAATGTTTACAATTCAAGAAACTATGCACAGTGAGAAAGACCAAACTGAATTTTGCAGAGAAAAGGCAGGTCTCAGGAGTGTTTATCTTGCTCTCTTGTCTTTTCTTTAAGTAAAAATGTACTCTGTATGTAGAAATGTAATTCCATTTTCCTACAATGGAAGGGAGCTGTACCTCAATTTTAAAAGTTATTACAGTATCCTTGTTTGGGGTAAATGTCTGGTCAATCAATGAGCTTTCCCTTAATTAGCAACTATGTCCAGTCCACAAATACTCCAAAGAGAGCCAATTCGGAAGAGATGAACCCTGAGCTAACTAGAACCCTCTCTCACAGTGCAAAAAACAAAAATTGCATTGCTCATGTTTAACTTTTTTTTTTTTGCAAAAGCAAAAGACCAAGAGTTGCAGCATTCCTAGTGACTAATACAAGCTGTAAGAGAATTGTGATTACTATAGCAATTTCTCCAGGAGAGCCAAGTTTTTTTCCATCCACTGGATATTCAGTTGAATTGTCTCAATAGCTTCTTGGGCACACCGCAACTGAGCAGTTTCCTCTGACTTTGATTCAAAGAATGTCTTAACCTAAAGAAAGGTCACACATGAAAAAAAGAGAAAAAAATGTCTCAGGGCACTGAAAATAAGTAATCCCTTAAGCATTCAAAATAGCCCAACCAGCTGTTATCTAAATGTATCAGCAAGACTGATGGGGAATGCAAATTTCATTTACCTATTAACTATTTGTGCTTTATTATTTTTTTTAAATCTGCTTTCAATCGTGACCGATTCTATGGAGACTGCCTGGATGAGTCCCTGCAGTTTTCCTGGCAAGGTTTTTTCAGAAGTGGTTTGCCATTGCCTCCTTCCTAGGGTGGAGCCCAGCTGGCGGTCGCAGGAAATCGAGTCTCTTCCATTGCATTGCATCCAGCAATTGGCAACCAATTCCCGTTTTCCCATGCAAGGCACTGCCAGTGTTTTTCCTCCCACCGGGGTAAGAGTACCTATTTATCTACTCACTTATGCTTTCGAACTGCTAAGTGGGCAGGAGCTAGGGACGAATGATGGGAGCTCACCCCACCACTATTACATTGTTACAGAAATTGTAAATTTTGAAATCCAGACTATTTCACACAATTTAAGAAATTAAATAACTATCCTTAATGAACAATGTAATAACTACGTATTAGAAACAGTTTCTCTAATTTCAGAAAAGATCTTTCACATTACTCTGTCCCCAAAATCTCTATGAAACACAACTATTAGTATTGTAAACAATATCATAATTTAGAATCTTGACCTGCATCACGTATTGCCTTCTTACTATGTCAGTGACAGTATTATTCTAAAATTCTTTTGGAACAATTTATCCAACTGACCTCAAGCAGATGTCCCACTGTTGAGAACTGATGCGTTGTTGAAGTTACAATGCTTTGAATAGTGTATGATCCACGGTGAAACCTGATATTTAGAAAAATGGATCAAGATTAAATCTATTTCACTAGCCTATGTTAACCTGATGCCTATATCACTTAATCTAAAGCATTTCATTTGATACCTAATAAATTGGAGGTTTGGAGGGAATTCCAAGATCAATAATCTTACATTTGTCACCAGCCACATAAAGCAAACTTTTGTAAAATCACTAATATACTCAATATTTTTCACAAATCGAGAGAATACAGAATATCAAATATAATTTCTCCCATTCATGCATTTTACAGATAGCGGCAAAACAGATTAATTATATTTGGAGTACAGAAGAACTTAAATCAATCTCACCCAATTTAGTGTTAAATTAAAATGAAGATTCTGGGTAGAGTAGTTTAATTCATCTGGAAGGCACCAAGTTGAGAAAGCCATAGTAAAGATTCTCAAATGTCATGTTTTTCAAAAGATACCATATCATCATAAATTATAGCATCACTGAGTCAAACAGTCTTTATACAGCTCAGTGCTAAAGTCACCCCATCATTGAGCAGTGTTAATTCTAGACAGTGATGAGGACATGCTGGAAGATTCAAGAAACCAGTGTGAGTCCTAAGAGAATGCTTACTCATGTCAGAGGTTAGCAACTACCTGTTTCATAGCTGATTCATGTAGGGGGGCAAGGAATGATTATAATGAGAATTCAAGCAAAACTATTACTTTTTAATAAGCTGATCCCAATTTTCTTTGACAAAATCCCATGCCAGTAAATGTCCAGGCAACTTCTGACTGATAGTTTTTATGACAGTTGGAAGATCCTGTGATCTGATTACGACTCCTTGCAGGCTTGTTTGCATTAACCTATGAAATAAAAAAAACAATAAAATCCCATTTCTAGGCATGCATGTAGACTTTTTCCAGGGAACTATATCATCTGTAATTTGAACTAGATAATGCCTAATAATCCAGGGACTATGGATATCTGACTACCTGATTATATATATAATCATATAATCTCTCTATATAGTCATATGGTCTATACATCTCTCTCTACACATATAGTCTATAAATAGACTATTTGTGTGTGTGTATAGACACACACACAGACACACACGCAGATAGTCCTTGGATTATGACGGCAACTGGGACTGGGATTGCTATCACTAAGCAATGCAGTCATAAAATGCGGCATCACGTGACTGCATCACTTAGCAACGGCAATCCCAGGCAGTCCCGGTTGCTGTTGTAACCCCAAGATGTGCAGGTCATTAAGTGGGAAGAGGCGGGAGTCCCAGTTAAGGAGTGCAGGGGTGCTGGGGGGGTGGAGTCTGGGGGAGGATCTGGGAGGGCCTGGGAGGGCCTTTGCGGGTGGGAGAAAAAGCAGTGACTTACTGAAGTGACTTGAGACCTTCCCTGTCAGCTCCCCCATTTATTTTGCTTGTGGGAAGCCAGCAAGGAAGGTCGCAAATGGCAATCACATGACTGCGGCTCCCTGCGATGTCATAATCACAAGCTGGGCACCCAAGCTCCTGGATAACAATACCATGAGGGTGCTGCAATGGCCGGAACATCAAGGACCAGTCATACATCCATTTTTTTCAGCACTGCCCTAACTTTGAGCTGTTGATGAATGAATGGATGTAAGCTGAGGACTACATGCATACATATACGTATACACATACATATATACACACTATGACTATAAATCATTGCGCTTGCCATCTTTCATCTTTATTTTTTATGTTTTATTAATTTTATCGTAATTTATTTGTTTGATTATTGCAAGCTGCCCTTAGCTGTTGAGAGTTGGGTAGCATATAAGTTTAATAAATTATTATTATTATGACAAATAGCAGCTGTAATGCTTTAGGTCCTGAAAAAGGGCTCTTTTGGCACATACATTTTTTGATACATGCATGGGTTCCAATTCAGAGGTCAACATTTAGATGATTAAATAAAATATATTACATGGACATCCAAAACAAAATGTTTCAAATCACAAATCACCCAGCAGCTTAATGTATACAGAAGACACATGAAAATTCTGTAAACATAGCTATAAGCTTGTTTTTCTAGAGATTAAATACACACCTGCCTAAATGGCACAATTTTAAGTATTTATTTAAATGCACTTATTAAAAAATATGCATATTAAAACGTTTGTAGGACTCAGGAGATTGACCCATTCACCTGACCTTTCTAAAACTGCCTACATAACCCTAATACACAAGTATTGGACAAATCGTTTGAAAGAAATGCTCCAGAATACAGAAGAATGCATAGGAAGCATCTCTTTTTGAATTGTTAGAGCATGTCTTTTTCTAAGCTCACGTGGCTGCTTTGGAAGCTACTGCTGACTGAATTCACATGCATGTACATGCCTAACTCCTTTGCAAAGCATACAGAAAAAGCCAGGAGCAACTTCTAAAGTAGCTGCTTAAGCTATGAAAAGACTTTGCTGCTTTAACAATTTGAAAAGAGATGCTTTTTCTAGACACATGTGCTTCAGAAATGAAGAAATGCACAGCACTTTGTATTAATGAACTCGAGTGTGTATGTATATATGTATGTATATGCGTGTGTGCGTATGCGGTATGTGTGTGGGTGTACATACATGTATAGTATAGTATAGTATAGTATAGTATAGTATAGTATAGTATAGTATAGTATAGTATAGTATAGTATAGTACAGCTTACAACATGAGCACACTGTTAGCAGACAGGACTCCTCAATATACTGAGACTCAATGGGGTATAATTATTGTTGAGACTACAGTAGTATAAAATATCCTTAAGCTCCTAGGAAGGAAGGAAGCTCTTTGAAGTAGGTTAAAGAGGGAATGGCAGTGGTCAGGTCAAGTATGAGATGAACCTGAGTCTAGGAAAAAAATCACTGAATATTACTCTGTATTTGAGAACCCCTTATGTTTGTATATTTTGGCAAAGTGTGCCCTTTTTAGATAGTTTCAGCTGAAGTTTAGAAACCTGATGGAAGTTATCTAGAACTTTGCAACTGCATATATCCCTGAATATTCTAATTACAAGAAAGTATAGGTCTAGAAAGCATAATCTGTTTTATCAACTTTAAAGCAATTGAGTTATATCACTAAGGGAAGTTATATAACCAAGGGAAGAAAGAGTGTTCCTCAGATACAGGTGTTCATAAGCCAAAACATCTGTTCATTAACCTTGATGTCAGTGCATAGGATTTCTTTCATTCAAAAGATTAAAAGGGTTATGAAAAGCATGCTAAATGTTCATGTACTTTAACTTCTTTGTACAATGACCTAGAGAAATCTATAGTAATCAGATTTAAATAAATTAAACCAATGATGATTGACCATGACTAGAAAACTAACTTTTATTTAAGATTTAAAATCTTCAATTTTAAAAATGTATTGCATATGGGAATAGGAGGGGGAACTGTACCAGATGAGTTTTTGAACATCATTTGTGCTGGCCAGAGATTCAAGAATTTTGAGTTTTTCTGGTTCAGAATCCACAAAGGAATACATCTTTAAAAGGAATTGCCAGCCAGTTTCAGTTTTTGCCCCAGCTGTGAATATGATCTTCATAACATTTGTCGGCAGGCTGCAGAGTGATAGCAAAAGAAAAGAATATATATATTCTTAGAATTCTCATATGGACATCCACATTAAACATAAAAACAATATGAATACTAACTGCTCCCAGTAAAGCCCTTAGACATGATAGAGCAATTTGTAGTCGGACACAGATATTCCCGTTGCCGAAACTCTGGCAAGGCTGTAAATCTCTCCCAACACTAACCCTCTGTTAAGGAACTGGTTATTCAGCAATCATTTCACAAACACAACTCAGCTAGATTGGATTTTTTTTTAAAATTCTAGGCTTCCTCTTCCCATCTTTCCAGGTCATTGGATACTTGGCCATTCTCTTAATGGTCTTGAGACTGAGAGTCATCTGATGTCGTAATGGTTCTAATTGGCCTGGGAACAGCTGATTCCTGTCTTTCAGCTTCATGCCTTATATTTGGCACCACAAATGTATTTCTCTGAGCAATAGTCACTTCTGACAGGCAGGAGCTGGACTCTGCTTTTTTCTCTCTCTCAAGTACTGTGACAAGTCTAACAGTTAATCAGTATCAGATAAGAGTTCAAAAGGTTAAATAGTTAATGACTCTAATGCTCAAATGATTGTAAGAGTGATCAAACAATTTAATTAAATATTGGATGGATACCAGTCTGATCCTATCCTTTGCTATGCTATTGAAATGCAAGCACAAGTGAGAAGTTTTGCAATACCAGTGTTCAGAAGAACGGCAACATATTCTTGTTACATCTCCTTTTGCATGTGGGCATGCCTTTGAGCTAGTATTGACTCTTGGCAACTCCTGGACTAGCCCCTGCAGTTTTCTTGGCAATTTTTTTAGAAATGGTTTGCCATTGACTTTTTCCTAGGGCTGAGAGTGATTGGCCCAAGTCAAGCAGCTAGCTTTGGCCTAAGGAGAGACTACAACTTATAAGCTCCTGGTTTCTTGCCTGCTACCTTAACTACTACACCAAACTGGATTTCTTAGGTTTCCTAGCCAGCATTAAACTCCACTGGCTTTTCCCTTCTTCATTGTGAAGGAACTTCTTTGGGATGTTCTTGCACCAAGGCTTCCCATTCCATATTAAAGCAAACTGTGGTCTGAAATATACAAAAATGTCCTAATACTGCTACTACTGTCTGTGATCCTAAAATTGTGTTCAGAACAGAAATAAAAATAAGGTTAAATTCTTAGACCATGGATGGGCAGCCCATTGACCACATGCAGTCCTCAACCCTCCCCCATTTGTGACCAGCCACTGCATCTTGAAATCAGTGTCAAAATGACCAAAAGCATAAAGAAAGCTTTTCCTATTCCTACTCTTTAAAAACTCAAACAACCAAACAAAAAGAAAGGCAGAAAAAAATATCCTTGCCCCTCTCACTGATGTCACCATATTGCTAAGCTTCCTGTGGCCCACTGGAAAGTCAGCAGACTTAGTTGTGCACCTGACACCTCAAAGGCTGCCCATTGCTCATTCCTGTTTTAGTCCCCATTAGTGGTTTACATTGTCTTCTACAGTCATCCAATCAGCACTGTGTTAATATAGCACTAATTAGGATACAATCACCTCTGAATAATTATTCACCAGTGGAATAGATGCCTTAGTCTGATCTCAGAGAAATATTCCTGGTATCGCAAAGAAAGTGCTCATAAAGTTTGTAAACTAAGAAGGATCTGGAAAGCTAGACAGACAAACATCCTTCTGGATGGAAAGAAAAACTGCAAAATGTGGAAAGTCTTACCCATCACTACAAGTCCAAGAAAATGTTCTCATTTTATATGTTTGTAAATGAGCACATAACATGTTGCTTCACGCTTGGAAGCATGCCAAAAAGAGCCTTAATCCCCAAGCAGTGTGGAGGACAGTTTTCTGTGACTGCATTCAGACATCATATTAAGTCAAGGTTTGTCTAAATATGGCTTACTGAATAAAGCAAAATTGGTTGCACTCACAAAACACAGCGAGCCACAAACTGTGGTTTATAAACTACAACAGATAGTTTATATCACATGGTAACACAAAGCCAGTCAGACAACATTATGGCATGGCATAACAGATAAGCCAGGTCTGTGACTAATTCAAATAATAAGCCATCGAAAATTGGATTTGTTGTCATATGAGGTGCCCAAAAATTCAATGCATGCCTATAGTAAAATTTCGTCCCCAATGAAAAAGATAATCATTTGCACATATATACTGATAAAAAAAAAAGACTCATTTTTTGTGGTGATGGTCAAGTAGCTTCTTAAAGCCCAAGGAGAAAAGTAACTTTAATAAGAAGCATTTTTTATTCTTTACCTTTCTGTCCCATTGGAGTTCTTCCATGTGTTAAATAGGTTATAAGCAATTGAACTACACTTTCCTAAACCATAGGAACAGGCAAAACTTAGTAGACTTGACTGTAGCTCTAGTTCTGAGAGAGTCTTATTATTGTTCCATGTTTGTTGCTCAATCTTGTCTCCAAATAAGTTTTCAATTCTATACTAGAAAATAGCAAAGGAAAAAGATTACCACTGGTCATTAGACAAAACCTTATTACAATTGTACTGTAATTAACTTCAAAATCTGCAAAAATGATCTAGAGCACAGATCTGAGCAGAAACCTGACCAATTCTCCTTCATTTCTGTCAACTATTACCACAGCCTTATTTATTCAGAACTAACTCCAAAGTGAGCATCAAAGATCCTATGGGTGAGATTTGCTAGACACTCAGAATTTATTGTGCAAATTAGTTTGATTATATGATTTGAAAGTGAATGAATGTGTACTAGAAATCCAGAATCACACAAGTAGAAAAAACTGTGACATCTTAGAAACCTATTTGTTTGCTGGAAATCAGATTTATTATTCCCTCACTATCGTACTACTAGAAGAGACAGCAGTTAAAAATGTTAAGAGACCATGAAGAAATGAAAGGAACTATAAAAGTTCAGAAGCTTTTTCCCTTCTGAGTAGCCATATTATTTACCCAAGATACAAAGGGATGCAATTACAACACGTGGCCTTTGACATTAAAATGTGCTTCTAAGCGACAAAGCCTGTAGGTTAAATTATGAACTATTAAAAGCATAGCATTTCTTAAACAAAAATACAATGAATGCTACATAAAGACATTTCAGTTCAGACATTATGCTACTACATAATACAACTTTCTAGCTTTCATGTAATTGCTACCTTCCTATTTTCAAGAACTTACCAACACTCTGGATGAGAGCTCCAGCATTCCCCGTTTCTCAACTAGATTGAAGATACGACTGAGTTGGTGTAAAGCTTGCATGATTGGAGCAGTGCTGTTTTCTTTTACTATATAGTCTATTAGATTGAAAGCCATGGCCAAAGGGACTTTTCCTATCCTAAACAGATCAGAAAAAACAAAACATTCAGACCAGTATCCTAAGCCTAATATTGAAAAGGCTTGTACTGTGGAAACTTGTAGAAATTCTTAAAAAAAGCAATTCTAAACTAGAACTTCTATTTTCCTGCTTCACCAAGTCGTGAATCTCTAAAATATTATAACATTTTATGTATATATTCTGATTAAATATCGTATTCTCTGTTGAGATGCTTTATATTTCAATTTGTATTTGACAAAAAGAAACTTAGGTTCATCCATCTTTTGGATAATTACCCAGCCAGAATGAAAATGTTATGGATCAAATTGGCTCTGTCTTTGGGATCAAAAATACTGGGATTTGTCTTCAGTAATTCAATTAGAGCAATCCAGTCATTATCAGCATAATGCACAATATAGTAACCATCTGCCTTCACATTGAACTTCACCCACTTTATTTCATGAGGATAGTCAATTACACCTAGGCAAAAAAAAAAAGGGGCGGGGGAGAAAAAGAAAGCATCAGTTTAAATCAATGCTAACCACTAAGCATTCACAAGGATAAACATTCTTTACTGACAATACTTGGGCAGCCATTTGTCTTTCTGTTTCTTCCAGAAGACCAGGGTACCTGCAGTGGCAAACAGCTCATGTTCAGTGTTACAAAGTATATCTTGCAGAGTAATAAAGTCTACTACTCTATCTTCACACAAACTGAATTTTCACCAAGTCATTCCACAATATAGTTATCTGCCTCCAACAGCAATGAGAGTCAAATTTGCTTCATGACATATAAGCGCACTTCAGCATCATAAAACTTTTTCACATGCTACTCTCAATATCACAATTCAACTCTCTACAGTATGGTTTATTTATTGTATTTATTCTCACAGCAATCATGAGACCCTTGGTGGTTAGGTTAGTTGCATGAATAGTCTTTTTTGAAAAATTAACTGTCCTTTTTAAATTGCACTCCATGTTACAGAGTTGTAAGCCATACAGACAAATTGCAAGCCATGCACACAAATTGCCTTGTTTCCTGCAATTATGAAAGGGTAGAATAATGGTCAGAAGTCCTGTTACATCCACTGACTGGGAACATTATATGGTTTCAATGAATTTATCCTCTTTCCAAAGTTTATACTAAACTGACACATTATTAATAGCATTGGAAAAAATTCTCCATCTTAACGGTTCCTCCTGCTTCACGAAGAATTGCTCAGTTTTTATTTATTTGTTAAGCAACTAAGTAGATCAGGAAATGAAACTGCATTGAGCTAACCCATGTCACATCATGTTTTTATGTGCTGAGCTCAGTTTTACACTTAACTTCAAGTAAATATATTGAATAATGCATAACTGTTTACCACAATGTATATATTTCGTCATCAGCTCACTTACCAGTAATGCAGTTCACAGAAATATCAAATCCCAACTATTTTGTTTTAATCATAGAAAGTAACACTGTTTTAAAATCTTTTCTCATTTAAACTAGCTTTGCTGATTCCATCAGCATATTTAATACTACAAACATGCTGCAGCCTAGATGTTGGCAATAGTACATTGATTTCTTTTAAATACATGGTGCTAGCATCTTCTTTGGAAACCAGTGTTCAATTATAAACAAAACATATTTATCAAGAAGTGAATTACTTAAATCTCAGTGGTTTGCTTTACTACTCATTCTATATTTCAGAGAAGCCAGATTAGAAAAAGGCCTCTTTTGTAATGTTCCTATTTATGAGTATAGATGTTGCTTGTAAGCCTCTTGGTAGGATTTGTATCCTGAAAGCAGAATAATAAATATATGAAATAAATAAAAGTATGAATCTTTTCGTTCCCAAACTTCATGTAGGATGTTCCTGTCACTCAGAAAAATGAGGACAACTGGTAGTTTAAACCACCAACACTGATGTCTGTGTAGAGTGAAGATTTCCTTGGTAACTAAACATTCAATATCAAAAAGATCCTACAATTCCCTAAGATGTAACATAGTATTAGTATGATTAAAAAGCCTGCAGCAAGAAGCTTTCTTTTCATTATTATCAGAACTGCACCTGTTCTGACATGCTCAACTTAGATATTTATTCACATAAAGTGTTAAGTCAGTGCTACATTTAACTAGTCAACAGCAGAATACCACTTACAGCATAGCATCTAGAAATCAGAATATGGCCAATTATTCAAGCTTCAGAGATCAAGTACAGAGATCTTGTTATCATTTAAAGTTGCTTCTATTACACTCCTATGCCTACAAAGATCAGAATTGTACAAGCAATGGGTTTCTCTGTGACACTCTATAGAAGTGAAAAGCTGGACTCTGAAAAGCAGGATAGAAAGAGTATTGATGCTTTTGAACTTACTATTAAGAATATTATGGATAGCCAAGAAAACAAACAAATGAATCATAAAACAAATCAAGACAGAGTTCTTACTCTAGGCATAAATGACCAAATTATCATATTTGGGATATAGTATGAGAAGACCTAGCTCTCTGGAGAAGTCTATAATGTTGGGAAAGATAGAAAAAAGAGAAGATGGTCAGCAATAAGGAGGATGGACAGAATACAGCAGTAATGGGTGCAGATACTAATTCAGGGACACAAAGATTAAAATGGTTCTTAACATGTAACTGCCACAATTCAGCCCAGTGCCCATTTGCCACAACTGTAAATCTAGGCTCTTAGCCCATTATTCTGGAACTGGCTTTCTTGCCAGTACACTCTTGCACTTGCATAGTTTATGCTTATATTTTTATTTCTGCTCACCACCCAAAGTTCCCCTGGGTAAATGGGTAGTTATAGAATGTGTTAAATAAATACATACATACTTACATATACTCGGCTAATGAAGGGCATGTACTAAGGGCAAAAAATAAAGCCAACTACAGCACAAGATCCGTCTACTGATACAGCAATCAGAGCCTATATATGTGCTAACACTACAGGTTTAAATTCTAAGCTTTTAAATCCCCCTTTCTGAGTTTGGTTATTTGGTTATTCTTTTAAGAGTCACAGAAGACACCTGGGATTCATTACCAGTTCTCACTAATCTCAGAACTGCTATGCCAGTTTTATTCCTAAGTCTAAACAATCCAGAGAAAATATATAATAAAATATATAATACCTTCTATACAAATTGATATTTTTGCTTGAGAGCATCTGAAGAAGTGAGGCTGGCACTGTTCAAATGTAGAATAAAAGGACCATTCTTCTGGATAACACCAGTAGCCTATTTGGTCCAGCTTCCTTGTTCCATAGTAGCAAACTAGATACAGAAGGCTAACCCCAAGGGTAGACAATGTTCTAGGGCAGAGTTGCTAGGAGTCTCCAGAAGTGTTAGTTCTTTGTGATGACTGGACCGTGCCTTTATCATGACTGGACCATGTTAGGACCACTGAGGTTTGACCTCAGTACAGCATTTTCTAACTTTCAAAAGATAAATGGCATACCTGACTTTTTATCCAGTAAGTATGTCTGCAAAGGGAGGGATGAGCTGTCATTGCTGGTGATGTAAGAAAGAGGAATCTGCCACAGATAACTAGGAAAAACAAAAGGGTACACACTCTTAGATCACAAAGTTCTATAAGGCTGATAAGATTATAGTAGAGCAACAATTGCCTTAAGTTTCTGTGAGATTACACCTGATTTAATGTACATGTATAAAACAAAGGTGCAATGATAGAAATCAAACTGCAAAGGTATGTCACTACATGCACAATTTGTTAAAGTGCCCAGAATTCCTTTCTCTGATTCAGTGGCTGAGCTTGCCTATTCAGAGCTTAAATATTCAGGCAACCAGATGGTTTCAAGAGTACAAATTAATTTCTGTTACTTATTACTTTTATAGTTTCTGCAAAACCACTGTCTTCTCTGAATTAAACCTGGTCACACCAATCCAGGAGCAGGCAATCTTTTTATGCCCAGAGACTGTCCTTAAAAATTACTGTATTTGAGGGGGGGGGGATCTCCAGGCAGAAGCAATATGATAATGACCCAATGACATTATCAGAGAGTGTGAATTCAGGGCTTTTTGCCTTACCCCTTTTTAACAAAAATAAGAATGTAAAGCCTATGGAAGACTTATTGTGGAGGGATCTCAGGAGAGAGGTCCCAATCAGGACACAGTGGGGAAGAATGAGGGCTGGAGATCGTTCATCCTAATCACACTTTTGAAAATGAGGCTGGGTATTAGTGGCAGTGTAGTCACACACAGAGTCTTGACTTGCTCCTGATATTCTGTAGCTCGTGGAATTCACAGTTCTGTACAGGGAGAATTGGGTAATTCAACTTCAAGTTACATAAAAAAGAAATCACAACTGTATTTTTGACACTTGTCATATACAAAATGTTTCTACTTTAATTTTTTTATTTTTTATTAAAAAATCTCAATTTCACTTATGCAGTATTTATATATTACATTTGTTCTTATCACAGTCAAGGCTATAGGCACTGCCTAGGTGAAATTTATTCTTCTTCAAATTAGAGTATCTTTTCAGTATGAAAAAATCTGTATTGACAGAAACAATGGGCAGATATAAAAAAAAATTACAGCTTACAATGAATAATGGTTTCTATCATCCAATGTAAAGGATGAAATCCTGCCCGCACAATATTTCTGCCTTATCAATTTAATGTGACATTACAAGTGACAAGTGTTATTGCCTGCCTTATCTATATGCTTTATGATAGTTTTGAAAGTAGTGCAAAGGTAAGACCTAGCTAGGTAGTGGCACTTATCTGACCTGACCTTTGCTGATCTTCAAAAGCTAAGCAGAATCAGAACTGGTTAGCACTTGGGTTGGAGGCTACCAGGAAATCTCAGGACTGTTTGCCGTACTGGTATATTTTTAAAACAAATGCCAGAAGAAGGCACTTGTAAACTATTTTCATACAATTACCAAGAAATCTACATGGCTGTTTTCCTGAAGTCACCAGGAGCTCAGCTCAGCATACAAATGACTTTATCTTTAGAAAGGTAAGAAAGCCTCCATCAGGTTTCCATCTAACTACTGTTCCCTCATACACACACACTTTAATATTTATCCTATATCTCAGTCCTCTTCCTTTTTAAAATCTAAAACACAGACTGAAAAATTAAACTATGCAAATTAAGAAGGAAAAAAACCTTGAAGAAGAGATCTGATTTTCCAATTCTGTATTATGCACAAATTTTTCCTGCTTCAAATTGATTTTTTTTCCTTCCCTTTTGACAGTCACTAATGGAAATCCTTTCTGAATTGTCCAAGTGTTCATCATTGTTTTTACATCAGCTACTCCATGTGTCACCTTAGAAAAAACATACACATGCAAAAAATGGCGGTGTCAACATAATCAATATCTTCTTTTCACTAATTAAAGAGCTAAATAAACTGTTGAAATACGATTCTCATTAACAAGCTTGTCAATCATAGTTTAATGCTACAAGTTCTACTTTTTAGGACTTTCTGCCTTATTTTCATATTGCTTTAGAAACACAGTAAATTAAAGTTGTACAGCACTTCAGATTCAATCTCTAAAAGATACTTCACATCATGCAAAAGTGCAAACATGCAGTGACACCTGTCTCCAACACTTTAATGCAGATTCATCTGTTTGCAGGACTTTACTGCTACCATTCACAGTGGTCACACAATTCTTGGAAAGAGCATGGCTGCTTTTAACATAGTTACTATGCTTGTGTTTCTAAGGATTTTTTAGAGGTCAAAATTGAAGTGCTGCACAGCCTACAGTAGATGCTACTTTAAAAACATTCTTTTAAGCATTTTTTCAACTATCTTCTTTCCAAGAAGACAGTTAGAAGCAATATTGCTCTTAATAGCAAAATAGCCTCAATACACTCCATTTTCATAATAACAGAGAATACAGAAGAACTAGAGATACAAGGTCATGGAATAGGAAGATGGTTTTTGAGTTATTGTAATTTCTGTTTTGGAAAGGGATATAGTTTTGTTTTCTAAAATGGGATCTAGCCTTCTCCAACTTGACACTCTAAAAATTAGTTGGAATATACCAATGGCCATGTTGGCTGCTAATTCTGAGAACTATAAGTCCAGAACATCCGGGGGTGTTAAGTTGAAGGAGGCTGTTTTAAATTACTTGTCATAATTAAACCACCTCTTAGGAACAAAGACAAAAGTTTTGGAGGCTGATTTCTTCCTGATTACTGACTAGAATTACAGCAGTATTAAAGAAGAATCTTCTAATCCACAAAGCAAATTAACCAGATGGCAAATAATTTCTTGAAAGCTATAAGCAGAAGCTGAGCAAACCTCCTGCAGGGAGAAAACAATCAAGGCAAGATAGCTGAGATGGAACTTTCTTTTTACCAAAGACAAACAAACATTGGCTCTATAATGTTTAGCACTTTGAATAGAAGAGCATCCACACAGGAGGATGGTAAAAATGTTGAGAAATATAGCCTCTATCTCTTTCTCCCAGTTAATTTTCTCCCTGCTAAAGTTTAAACCTAAGTGACCTTTCCCTTCTGGGGAGACCTGGGATCTAGAAAAATGGTCTTAATTACTATGGGAGATTGTCTGGTAAGCATTTCTGCCAAAATTCTGGTTGCTTTATGGAATATAGAAATGAGCACAGCAATATGATTGAGAAAAATGCCTTTTCCTCTAAAAACAAGGCAGGCAGCTCCACAGTATATACCTAAGCTGAAGGCAACGATGATGGGAGATGGCTAGAATATATGTGAATGACTTATGCTGTGTGAGATTAAATGACAAAAAAAGCATTCACTCCATAGTTAATTCATTTATATTTATCATTTAGCCAACTGGTCCTGTTGAATTGGATGAGTTTACACTAACTTGAGGATACTAACAAGATGATAGCCAAGTGTACTTGCCACCAGTCTGCTTCACCTTTGCTCTTCATGGCTTAATATATCCAAGAAGGAGAAGATCTCCGTTTGTAACAAGGAGGCTATAAATTTCTCCTTAATGAAGGGAATATAGTCCCTTTAAAAGAAATAGTAATTAGGTTATCCTAAACAGCAGACCAGGAATATACAGATAACTGATAGGGTGAGTACTAATACCTTTTTTTTTAGAAGGTATCCAAAGAGATTTACCTTAGTCATACTGTCCCATAAGTTATCACTGTGCGTGGAACCATAGCTATAGTCATGCAAATAGATCTGAATGCCAGCTTGGAAATCATCTTTATGAAGATAGTTTTTTAACATAAACAAGAGAGAAGATCCCTGTAGGAATAAAAATAAGTTACAAAGTTAAATCCAAAATTCCTAATTTTAATTTACACAGAAACATGATGATTAACTTAAACAAAATACTGAACCCAGCAGAAATTATTAGACTTGAAATATGCTAGAGTTGGTTTGAAAAGCTTTATTCAGGAGGGGAGAAAAAGAAAAAAAGCTTGATTTTGTTCCGATTTAGTGACACCAATTAGTGATAACCAGAGTGAGCAACTGAACAGAAACAGCAAGTAGGAGTTTGACAGGGCAGATCAAGGAGAAGACATATGGGGTTGGTTGGTTGGTGTTGTTCATCAGCAGGACATGGAGAAGGAGGGAACTGCTCATATGACTTGCAGGAGATATGCCAGGTTTGTTCCTTCCCTGATGAAAACAAAAACTACACATGCTGCAAGTGCAGGCTGATTGCTCTCCTAGAAGAGAAGGTGACGGGACCCCCAGCTTATTAGGGAAAACAGAATTCTGGAATCTGATACAAGAAATGGTTGTGGAGGGACAGTGGTACCAAGAAATCTCCCAGAAGAAAACCGGGCTGAGTAATGGAGAAATGCGATGCAAAACCCTGAACCTGTCAGGAAAAACTCTTTTTCTTTGGAGCCCTGGATATATTCCAGGGCCTCCCCACTGATGTGTTTCTGGACCCCTGGATGAAGCAGCAATCTCTTGGCTTCTCCCTCAAGAGAAATGTGTTTTCTTCCTGAGTCACACAACTGGAACATGACAGAAAGGCTCACATTAACAATTAGCCCTTTCTATTCATCCACATGGGAACAAATGACAAGATCTGAAGACACAGCAAGGGACCTGGAAGCACTGGAAAGGAACATGGTACAGGACCAGGTTATTTGTGGGACCATGTGTCTTTGATTATTTCTGCCTGTCTCACATGCTAACAGGATGGGGATGCTCCAGATCCTTCCCTGAAGCAATGTTATCTGATGGGACCTAAGAGGTGTGCCTGTCCTCTTGCAGTGCCTGCCCACTGAAAGAATTTCTACCCCAAAATTCAGTTGACCTTGCTGGGCCAAGTTAGCCTTTAGGGGGGCTTTAAAAACTTAGTTTTTCTCCCAGGCATTGGGCCAGGATGACAGATGAGCTTGTCTTTGGGAGATGGAGTATGTGTTAATGGGTCCCAATTACTGGCATGTTGTTTTTTATTGTTTTTATTGATACTGTTGTAGTTAGGATCTGAATTTTTCATTACACCGCCCAGAGTCATGATCATACATGTTGGACAAGCCATCTAAATCTTCTAAGTAAATAAATAAATAAAGGAGCTGAGGATACAAGTGGTGTTTTCTTCATTCTTCCCTGTTAAGGCATGTGCCCCAGGAAGAAGAAACAAATAATGGAACTGAACAACTGTCTATCAGATGGTGCCAAGAAAAATATAAATTCTTGGATAGAGGGATGCATTTCAAAGATGATAAACTCTGGCAAGAAATGGGCTGTACCTTATGACGACTAGAAAGAACATGTTTACAAACCTACCTTGTAAAACTGATCTGGAGAGTTTTAAAATAAATCCTTTGGGGAAGGGAGAAGACACCCTAGAAAATAGGATGATGCAAAGTACTGAGAATGGGATTACAAGATGTAGGCAGAAGGCACCCAATAATGAACAGGTATATATAGGAATAAAGGCTTGAGGTATATGACCGAAAAGATTCCAGCTTCACTACTCAAATGCCCAGAATATGGGAACAAACAGGAATATTCATGTAGAAAGACAGACATTTAGTGATTTAGCAGGCATTATTGAAACCTGGTGGAATACAACTCATCAGTGGAATGCAAAAGGTATAACTCAAAACGAATAAATCAGACAAAAGGGAAGAGGAAGCATATTGAGCATGAGTGTCCAACAAAGGGCATTTGGGTAAGAACAAAGGAAAAAGAATCCACGATATTGTTAAAAGTGCACTATGTATCATTCAGCCAGACAGATCTGGAAAACACAGACCTGGACCAGATTATAGAATTTTCAGGAAGTAGAGACATAGTAATAATGGGAGATTTCAATTACCTAGACAACTGTTAGAAAATCAACTAACTCAAGACTGTAAAGCCCCCTAAATTCCTCAGTGGGTTTGCTGTTTCATTTTTCAGATGGCTGGAGACCATCTTCAATAAGGAAGAGTCGGTTGAAGGAATTAAATCAGTAGGGATTTTTGGAGGAAGTGATCACATCAACTTGGAGTTCAAGATAATACAAAAATATTTCAAGAGATCACTTCCACAAGCTTAGAGGAGTACTAGGTAGGTTCTTGTGCATAATCTTTAGATCAAAGGGAGGATAGGAACTTCTCAAAAATAAGATGCTGGAGGTACAGTCATGCACCATACCAATGAGAAAAAAAAGGTAGGAGCATAGAAAATGGATACATAGGTTGCTATTGACTAAGAATTAAAACAGTCATGTATAGGGAAATGGAAGGTTGGTGTTGTCACCAAGGAGTTGCATTAGCAGGTAGCTAGTATCTCCAGAAAGTCAGAACGGCTAAAACACAAAAGGAACTTATGCTGGCATGGAACCTAATTAGAAGTTACAAAAAGAACTTTGATACAGCAAAGGGGGAAAATGAGTTCAAATACATCTGTTTTCCACACAATTATATGTGAATTCAAAACATTGGGCATCCCTACAGTATTATAAGCATAATCTATTCAGATATGAATTCTCCTGTTTCTATGTTTACAAATATTCTAGTTGGGATACAACTCAACAACTTATTTACATTTTATTTATTTAGTCAATTTCTAAGCCACCCACTCATTAACACCTCTGGTGGCTTAAAGAGGATTAAAAACAGGTTAAGAATAAATAAAACAATAGTAATAAAAAGCAACCATGGCAGGCTGGAGAAACACATTTCACTATACCATAATTAGTGGGTTCACACAATAACAACAACCCAGTGCTTGTGGAAAAGGCCAGTTCTTTAATGCCCTCCAAAGGTCAGCAGGGTTGAGCGATGCTGTTCCAAAGAGCAGATGTTGCTACAGAGAAAGCACACCTTGAAGTCTGCATAAGACAAGATTACTTTATTGATGGAAACTGGAGCATTCCAATCCTATCTGATCTTATAGAATGGGCAGAAGAAAGAGGAAGATTTTGTACCTATTCACATTTTTAAAAAATTTTCCACAACTGATTCTTCACTACTATTTGATGTAGTCCTTGGCAGAATAGCATTTCCATTACAAACATACTCTCCATCCTTTTTTCCCCTCCATTTCAGTCCATACTGAACCAGCTCATTTGCATCCTGTTATCAAATGATTTAATCACATAACTTTTGTCTACATTCAGATGGGCAATGAAATAACACTAATCATTTATAGATTTCTGTACGGATAAGAGATGGGTTATGGGAAGAAGAGATACTTGCATGTGACCTTATAGGCGGTGAAGAATTACTAAGTTTGTGCTTGTTGTGATGAAGATCAGAACACTTCTTTTAATATTTTTCTTATTTTTTTCTTTCTTTCCTTTCTTTCCTTTTCTCTTGCACTTTCTATTCTCTCTTTATTTTTTTTCCTCTCTGAGTTTAGTTTGTATTGTCTTTTTTTTTTCAATTTTCCATAAAATTATTTTTAAAAAGTGTTATAAAAACTAAAAAACCCTCATTTCTATATTAAAATTTAAAAGCTAGGGTCTGTTATAATGGCAGCACAATCCAACCTTTTAATTAAAAGCATTAGCTCCTTTCCATTTCAACAGTGATCAGGCCATGCTCTTTATTTTCAAGACTAACACTAACAATGACATTCTGTTAAACTACGCTCAAAGTATTGACTTAAAGGTGTGCATAGAGGTAACTGATGAAGCTATATCCCTAACTTCTCTATAGGGAATGTGTGGGGATACCCTGGTCTTTTTTCTATAGCAAACATTTTAGACAAAGGCAAACATTTTAGACAAAGGTGTCACGTGTGAACAGCAATATACATCATTTTTTAAATCTGTCCAGTCTTCTGAGACTTCATTTTATTTTATATTTTAAAAAATCCTTTTATGGGCACCACTTATTTGTATTGCTGAATGTTGCTGATTCTTAACCATAGCTAAGTATGTTCAAAAGGAGACAGGAGGAGAACCATAGGAGATTCAGATATAGCTGCAAACCATGCCTGCCCCAGGGCTCAAGTTCTCCCACATTTTCCTTTGATTTAGCCATGAAGAAACTAGTTCTTTTAATAAAATGTACCATGGTTTAGTGTGTTAACCAAACTATGATTAATCTAAAACAGAAGTAGATGCTTCTGATATCTTCTCACAGAATCCTAAAGATGCAAGCATGGAATGAAGCTGAGTTTCTTCTCATTATGCTAAACATGGTTTAAAGCAGGCAGCTTTTTTGAGGAGAGGCTATACTTTATAAACATCTTCTATTATGTTTTCTGACCTTCAAAAGCCACCTTGATCATGGCAGGTTTATTACAGTGGGAAGAAGGGGCATTATGCAAATTAAGATGACTCCCTGAGGCTTGGCCCCTGTTTTAGAATTTTATGGGGGAGGAGTGGGAACCACCAGAATTATCTTGCAAAACTAGATCTCAGGGATTATTTGAACCCTATAGATTTCCCATCCCTGATTTAATGTTATATCCAAAAACATTCAAAAATGCTGAAGTAAGGAACTATTTAAGGTGCCATCAGTGAAGAGAGAACAAAAATATTCTTTTTAGCTCTTCCTTTTTTTAAAAAAAAAGATATTTCTAAAACCAAGCATTTGTCTGCTAAAAAAATCAGATTAAAAATTTCTCCCAATGGGATATATATTTTCCATTATATTGTCCTCTCAACACCTCCCTCCTAATCCACTCTTGAAATGTTTTTTCCTTCAGCTTCTGACCTCTTGTTGCCCATACTTAGAATGTGATTTGAAATAGATCTGTATCAACTTTGCAAATGCATTTAATTTTATTAAAACCACATTTACAGAACCTATGAAGTTACCTTGATGTAGGAGACTACATCAAACATTTGTTCGATCTCTGCTGATGAATTGACAGCAAGGGAAACCGGGTGAGATGAATTCATGGAATCTTTCTCCATGGTCTTAAATTGCAGATTTAAAAAAATGTCATCCTGAAGAATTGAAAGACATTTAAGTAAAATGAACATTAATTAACATGATAAATTTAACCAGTCAGTAAAGATCAGGGAAAAAAGGCTTTTTTTCATATATTTTTTCTATCTGGTAGGTCCTCTGAGAATTTTATAAATTATTGTATCTATCATGAAGATTCTTATTCTTATTTTATTATTACATTTATGACTTGTCTTTTCTCTTGGAGTTCAAGCACCCATCATATCCCTTATTATATCCTCCATCAACTTTGTGTAGTAGGTTAGGGTGACAGATATCATCTGGTTCAAAGTCACTTGATGAGTTTTACATTTGAAAGAGGATAGACAACTGCACTATTACATTTGCTCCTTTAACCCACATTAAGCAAATAATACAGAGGCACAATCAATTCATAAAGAGTACCTCCAAGTGACCATACATTCCAGAAAATAATGGCACTGGGAGAGGCAAATCAAGCTGGTATGTTTTCACTCATTCACCCAGAGAAAAACTATGTATCTTATGAAACGATCTGGCACCATCAAATGGTGAAATGTTATTTCTTCATGATAGCAATGTACTGTATATATAGTTTCATTCATGAGATTTCCAAATTAGTTTAAGTAGGAAGCTTACCCTGTAAGAGCCTTCCATGACAGGATATGTGAGTAAGAGACACACAGATACTCCCTACCTACCACAAATTGCAAATGTTCCATTTACACGTTACATCATTCATCATTTCTCTCCACAGCTATTGATGTCTTTCTTCCCAAGTCTACAGAATACTTATTTCTTGACATCCTGTTCAATATTTTAGTGTACATTAACTTTTGTACCAGGAGCCATGATGGAAATAGCTATTATCTGGAATCCAAATTTGTTATTTTCACAGTTTTAACCAAAAGAAATCCAACCATTTTACTGAACAAAGGTTGCCAAATATACTTTAAAAATCCTAATTTTCTTGGAACCAAAGTATTTTTTACCTTAACTGGCATTTATTTCAGGAGGAATAGTAGAAATAAGACCTTCTAATTGTAGACTGGCAGAATTTCTTTTTGTCACTCTTCTACTTTTCAAAAATATCAGTATAGGCAATCCTCAGGTTAAGAATGAGTTCTGTTCCTAAGTCTGTCTTTAACTCGAATTTGTATGTTAAGTTGGAACTTGTACTTATGAGTTACTAAAAAATGGCAGTGTTCTTCCTTGAGCCAAAGAACTGCTTAAGCTGCGCGATGTTTTCATGAACCACTGAAAACCACTGAAAACTGTATATTAAAAACGCGCAGCTTCAGCAGTTGATGAAAACATTGTGCAGCTTCAGCAGTTCATCAGCTCGAGGAAGGAGAACGCCGTCTGCCATTTTTAGTAATAGGCAGCCCGTTTGTAAGTAAGAGCTGTTCGTAAGTTGGATGTTCTTAACCTGGGGACTGCCTGTAACTTAAGGTATATCAATTATTTTACCCAGCTGTGAGGGAAAGACTTAATTTCTTAGCCTATGAAGTATTTTTCCTAGCTATGAAAAATTAAGTTTTTCTTTTTCACAAATAACCTCCTAAATTATATAAACAGCTCTAGCTTTTGAGGCTAAATAGGAAGACAGGTCAAGTCAAAAGACGCATAGAAAAGATGAGAAATATATAAACCCATCAACCCTCAATGCACTTACAGTATACAAATCTGGAAAGACCATCTTCATGGCAAGATTTTCCATAAAAGTAGCAAATCCTTCATTCAGCCACAGGTCATTCCACCATTCCATTGTTACCAGATTGCCAAACCACTACAAACATAAAGTACATATTATGCCTCTATTATTACATTCTGTGTCAAAAGATGGAGCCCTAGGCTGAGATATATACAAGGACTTCCAGATCTATTCTAGCCCATCTGTTCTAGCCAGAGATTCCAAGAGTTCAGCTCAAGACATCTAGAGGGCTGTCATATACTTAAAAAAAAAAAAAAAGACTCATACATCCTCAAAAACTAGTGTATCAGCTTCACAAAACAACATTAATCTTTACAACAGGAAACAGAACAAAAAGCTTGTACTAGGGCTATATATGCTCCCTCAGCCAGTAAAGCCATGTGATTGGCTATATGATTCTTTAATAAGTGCCTGTGCTGACAGCTTATGGTATGTTAATGTTTAATTAATCAAAACTTTCAGAAGCATCTTAGCTGCAGGATACAGTGCTGCAAATTGTTCTAGCTGTGTCACAATATTGGTTGCAGAGGATTAGATTACTACAACTAAAAATGCAACAATATATACATGAAATCCACATTAACACCTAATTGGTGGCCACAGCCTATGCACACTGGTAGCTCACATGTTCTTCCAATTTGTAATTGCCTGTAATTCTTTCTTATTGCTTTTTGTGCACAGGTTAGTATGTAGATTGGCCTTTTAAAAAATCTTCTCTGCTATTTCTTTAAGTCTTTCATATATTTTGACTGTACAACATGTAAGAAAGGAAGAAGACTAAAGTAAGGTAACTCCAGGGTTCACAATTCTACTGCTCTCATATCGCATGCCAGGTACTCATGCTAGAGATGGGTGTGGCAGGGAGAAAATAAAGAAATCACTTCCAGCTTAAATGCATCAGTGGCTGAATTAACTTATTAGAACAATGGAATAAAAAATTAGAAAAAACAAGCTTGCTTGTAAACTACCAGTTTGGGAATTTCAATTATTTAAAAGAGAACCATCTTTTTAGTACTTTTAGAATACAGAGAACAGTAGATTCCATACCTGGTGGGCTAGCTCATGAGCAATTACTGCTGTTACTCTCTTTTTATCAATTGCTGAAGAAGTGTTATTATCAAAAAGGAGTGCTGTCTCTCGAAAAGTGATCAAACCCCAGTTCTCCATACCTGCAGCCTGAAAATCTGGAAGAGCTACCAAATCTGGACAAAGAAGGAAGAACTATTTTAAACATACTTCCAGCATTCACTATTTACAAAGCTTATTGAACATTTCCATCATACATACTGATATTTAATTCCATGGACATATCCATAATCTCTGATGAACTTGATCTTGTCACTTTTAAACAACATGTGGGCAGTTTATCAATATATTTAATCTATCCCACATCTTTTATAAACTAAGGGAATTCTTAAATTCTTAAACTTGTGCAGGCACATAAATATGTGCCTTCTCAAAAAGGTAATAGGAACATTCACCATGTTTAATTGTATAATAATGCAGTGAAGGAGTCTCTCTTACTTGTTTACAAAGTATCTTACTGCTAAGACTCAGGCTATACATTTCTCATTACTGTAAACTAATTACTACACACTTTGCCTACTGCACTCCCACTCATTAAAAGCTCTGCGTGGATGTTACATTATTATGTACATACATCCAGTATGTATACACATATCAGCATCTAAAACACTAAAATATAATACATTCACTTGTACTTAGTTTTATAAATGGTTGTATCTTCCTATCATATGATGGTATTTAAAACTATACAGGTGTAGTAATTCATTTTTGCCTATCTACTACTTTTGCTGATTATTAACATTTAGCATATTTTCTAGCTCACCACTATATTTTCCACCCTAATATTAGCTGTTACTTCTAAATGATATTTTTTGTTTCCTGAGAATATGCCCTCTCAGAGTATAATATCAAGCTATGATAAAGAAATTTCATTAAAAAAATTAAGGAGATCCAACTGAAGAATTATTTAATCTAGCATTCTGTTCCAAAATGGCCATCCTATGGGAAGCCTACAGTCGGGGGAATGAGAACAACAGTACTCTCCTCTTTGGATTCCTAGCATCCTCCATTTAGAGACATACTGACTCTGAGACTGCACATAATATGACTAACAACCATTGGCAGCCTTAACCTATATGAGGGGTAAACAAAGGGGGAGTTATAACAGTGGGAACTGATAATCCATTTTAAAAAAGGAAGAAACAACCAAGACAGCACATTTTTTTTCTTCTGGACTTGTTCCCTTCTCAATTACCCTTATTATACCCTACACTTCTATCAGTCATGACTTACCATTAATTCTGGCTAATTTTACTGAGATTTAGATGTATACCAGCTGTGTTCTTTAGGCATTCTCATCAACTATGTTTATATTTGGCATTAGATACAACCTTCTCCCCCCCCCCCAAAAAAATAGTGTTGTCCAAGTTACACCATTACTTACTGCCTGAATAAGTACTTTTGTAACCTTTAAGAAAAATAATCTCCTTGTTAAAGGTGTTATAGAACTGTCTGGTCACTGAGATCATTAGGGAGGTGCTGCTATATGTACCAAGAGCTGCTGAGTGCCATCTGGCAGATGTTCATGTGTGGCTTTTGTGTTGGTATCCACACTCTGGAATGCTTTTTCCCTCTGAAATTCAGGAGGCGCTTACTGTAATAGTCAGTTTGGTGTAGTGGTTAAGGCACCAGGCTAGAAACTGGGAGATTATGAATTCTAGTCCTGCCTTGGGCACAAAGCCAGCTGGGTGACTTTGAGCCAGTCATTCTCTCAGACCTAGGAAGATGGCAATGGCAAGCCACTTCTGGAAAAAAAAAACATTGCCAAGAAAACTGCAGGGACTAGTTTAGACAGTCACCAGAAGTCAACACGGACTCAAAGGCACAAAAGGAAAAAAATACTGTAACATCTTTAGGCACCTGCTGAAAACTTACTCTTCCTCCAGGACTTCCTGACACGCATGTTGGAATACTGTTTTCTTTTCTTATCCTCTCCCCCACCTCTCTAATGAATATATATTTATGGAATACTGCTTTTATTTTGCTGTTTATATTGTTTCATCATCTATTTATTGTAAATTGCCCTTAGATGTTTCGGCATATGAAATCGTATATTAATGCATTACATCAATGTATCAATAAATATATCATGTGCGGGGACTGACATTAGAAATTGTTCAGAAGGTTCACATAGTTCAGAGCACAGCAGGAAGAATTAACCTTTGTTTCTTTAAACAGAAGGGCAAAATTGTTTCCCTCACAATTTTCAGCTGAATGCTACTTCTGCTTCAGTTTATTATTTTAACTGATTTTACTTGATTACTATTTCCAAATACCTTTGCTTCTTTTTAAAAAAAGACAATAAGAGACTATGGCAGAGTTTATGAAGTAGTGTTTGAAGTGTAAAATCATTTGGGGACTCTGCATACCAGCCTTTTAAATCTTTTTTACAAAAATTAATCAAAGCTGTGGCCTACAGATTGAAATAAATGTTTTAATTTATTTTTTCCCCCTGATTCTCAAACAACGTATCTAAACCTTCCACACTATGTCCAACTTACCATCCCTTTAAAAACATTATTTACAAGGGAGGTCTATAAAGTTGCTGACTTGATCAACAATCTCATAAGAATATACAATCTCTCACCTATTTTGTTAAATGGGTATGTTATGTTAAAATAATTCTGGTAAAATTCAAGAAGCTTCACTGCTGTGTTCAAGGCATACTCAGTCTGCTCCAGCTTTTGTGCTACAGCATAGACAGATACCTGGCACAATAGGAAAGAGAGAGGAAGTCAGAGGAAAATCTCAGTGGAATTCACTTTTTCATTGTCTACATTTCTTAATGAGAAAAACGAAGATTCAGTACAATAGTTGACAAGGCAGCATTTATAAGTCAGTCCACTGAGAACCAATTTTCACTATTTACAATAAATATTGTCAAGATAGCTTTTGTCTTAGTCCCATTTGTATAGCATATTTTGTTTTATAATATGAAAATAGATATTTTCCTTGTTTTGTCATTTCTAAAGACTTACATTCTGATGGCAGAAGAGCCACTTCTATGGTGCTAATACATACACGTTCATAGTTCAGGTCTGGGCCACTAGTTGGGTATTTCCCCTCTGCCTCCGACCAGCATCAGAAGGAGTGGCTGAGATTTTCCCCAGATAAAAACAGATCTCATCAGGTGGAAATAAAAGGAAGTAGTGGGTAGAATAAGAACTGAAAAGGAGCTTCACATTATTCTATCTCTTCAGATTTAGGTCAGCAAATGGATCTTTCTTCAAGATGATTCACAACAGTTCTCCCCTGGCCCTGACAAATAGGCACATACTCCTTGTTTAGATTAACATACACTACTGAATCTTGTAATAATTTGATATGAGCAAAAAAAAAAAAAAAGCAGCTACCAAGCCAACTGATACTATCAGGTCAGAAAACTACAGTCTACTCTCAGTGGTGCAATGACTCAAGCTAGTGAACATTATTAATTCAAACCTAGCAAGTATATCATAACACACTGGGAAAACACAAGTAAGGTTTTTAGGAGCAAAAAGTCCACATACCAGAATCCCATTTGTTTCCTTACTGGTATGTGCCAAGTTTCCAACAATGACAGCTACTAGGTAAGTGCTCATTTTCAAGCTCACAGAGAATTCGTCTTGAAATAATCCATTTGCCAGGGCTTTGGTTGAATTCTGGAAATACAAACCAGAGATCATAATTTAATTATGTAAATAGAAGCTGCAGATCCTGGAGCATAAGTTTCAGAAGCCATCTGTTCTATGTTGAGATGCTTGGAGAGTGGCTAATATGCAAAATGCAATGTACAGAATATTGATATTTCCTATGACTGCACTACTCAATAGTTTGCAAATTAAAATTATATCAATAAATCTAAGAAGTAAAAATCACTGTTCAGTATAGAGCAAGCTCACCCGCCAGGGTTGAACCAAAGATAGTAAACAGTTGATTTTATAAAGATATTTGTTCTGTATGTAACACACTTCATGAATGTGTTAACTGAGAAAGAAACATTCATCCAGAGTATTAGCAGAAAGCACTTTAAAGTAAAAGTCATTACTTATTTGACTTTTGGTTGCATGATGCTGTTACACAGACTCAATTTATTTCATGACATGATCTCAGCCTGACTAGGATTCTTTCAAGAAACTGCTCCTATAGTATATTTAAAAAGCACTGATGCCAAATTTGCAAAGCATCACTGAAAAACAGGAACTGATAGCAAGAAAGCTGTACGAGCATTTTAATGAAGAATTTACCATCAGTCTCCTCATTTTTGCTTTTTTTTAAATTTCATTTGAAAAAAAATCAGGGTAGCCCAAACTAGGGCACATTACGCACAAAATGATGCTACATAATGTTAAAAAAGATAAAAAGACACTCTAGAGAGCATTTGTTAGAGTGCCATATAATTACATTATAAGGTTTCAAAGGCAAAAGGGCTAATCCCACTCCTAATCAGCTAGCACTGCATTCTCACAATAATTAACCTCCTATACCTAGGCAGTCATTTAATTAAATAAATGAAGCAAAAAAAAAAGCCTTAGGGTAGGATATATTATATTGCTATATTATGGTAATGTCAGGCCTAGTCCAAGGAACTCCAAGAGACAATGCAGATTCAGTTCAGCTATGTTTATTAGCTACAACCTCTAGAAAGAATTTCCCCAGACTGAACCCCCACCCCCAAAGCCAGCCAGCCACAACAGTGTGAATT